TTCTGATATCGGGAAATTACCCAGATAATTTCATTTAATGTATTTGTTTGCGACGAATTTCCCCCTTTAGGCATCTCATAATTAGACATTGCCAAGGGATGGCATCAAAAAATGTCCATGCTTGGCATCACTTCAAAACATGTACACATGGTCAAGTACTAAAACAAAACAACTACAGCCATGATGCAGAGGCACCTTGTCCAGATCCGGTGAGATCCCAAAACGTTCCGAATAGGGCTGCACTCCACTCGCAGCTAGTGCCCCCACTCGGCAATTCAGCAGCACTCGAGATTGCCTCTTCCACGGGTTGAATTGTCGAGTTGACAAGCGTCCCCATAGGGAAGGGTTGCTCAGAGCTAGGATTGGACTCTGTTGTCCGAACCCCTGTCACGGGTGGTAGGTGTGCGTGAGCAGCAGCTTCCGCGTTAGATGGCTGGTTAACCCCGGTATTTGTTGTCCGCTGGGCTCTGGCGGACGAGCCTTTGTATAGCTCGATCGCAGGTCCAAGATCATATCGTACAGGTGCTGTGATATGATCCGGTTGCGTCGCCCGTGGCAATTGAGGGATTGTCTGCTTTCTACCTCGTGCGGCGAAAGCTTGGAATCGAAGTTTCTCAATAAGTCTCCAGCGGCGATCACGATAGATATCTGATGCACTTTTCCAGTGGCGGTAGATCTCGTCGACAGTTTTCCACACCGCATCAGACTGCTCCTCCGGAGGCGCAATACAGAGATGGAGCAGGAGATAAGCCAGTGAATCCCATTCGACATAGGTCTGAAAAAGCCAGAGCCATCTTTTGCCTTTCTCGTAATTTCGGAGCATTTGGGCGTGCTGTAGGACTTCCTCGCAAGTCCTCCAGTAATTTTTTTGCACAAGCATGCCCGGAGCCTGATCCCTCCGTAGCCTGCATACTGCCAATTTTAATTTTACCAAGATCAGACGAGTGGAGGCAGCGGTGATAAAGTCAAGTGGAACTTCTTTGTCGCAATACGACAAATATTGTTTCTCTATACGCTCCTTGAATTGCTCTATTGCCTCACACTTCTGCGCCTCGCTCAAGACTGGGTATGAGTTAATGCAACAGAATTTGTCTGAAAATGTCACTCTTCGCGCAAAATGGCTCCCTTCAAACCGGACCAGCGTAAAGGTCATCTCGGTTCTTCCAGATTGACCTTGAGGCAGTTCGCTCATGTTGGGTTCCAGGCTGGTGTCGTTGATATTCAACGGCAATTTGGTATTGAAGGCTGATTCGACGATCGTTGGTTCAGAGCCATGGTCCTCGGCCGTCCGGACATCCAAAGTGCAGATCTGCCACCAGAGCCGGCGACGCATTTCCACCTCGAAAGGAGATAGACCTAGACCAGCTCCGTCGTAATGGAGACCAATCTTCATGGCAGTTCCAATGGCAACGCCTATAAGCGTGCATACGTTGGGTCCATTCTCGTCCTTTCTGCCGCAGATCTAAATAAAATAATTAGGTTCAGTTTTGGTTTAAGCATGGGTGTATAACTACCAGATAGAGAGCAAATGCCTGCAGGACCGTCAAATCCAGAGACCCGAGGAAGTTCGCGCGCGAAAGGGCCTGCTCGACTCCCATTCGATACCTTACTCAATCAGCAAAGGCATCGTCCCATGAGAACCATACATACCGCTTCAGTAATACGGCTTTGTCCTCGTCAAGCTCCTCACGACACTCTGCCGCCGACATGGTCACTATGGTAGAGTAATAAATTGCAAAGATCAAGCATTCTGTGGGAGCATCGAGGTTAGATCGGCCTCGAATGACACTCATAACCTGCCGTTGCACGGTTGGGGCATGGAAAACTTTTAGCACGGGATCTACCACATCCAGGTAGGTCTGCCAGATGAATGCGATTACAGATGGAGAAGGATGAAGGGTTTCTAGCGTTGGTGAAGGGACCGGCCTTAGAGGAAAAGACTGCCAAAGTTGCCCATCGTTGGGTGAAGTAGGATGGGAAGCACCAGCCCAGCCGGAGCTACATCGATCTTGTTCGATTTCCTACTACTGTCTTAGTAACTAGCTTACTGGTCATGGACTTTCTACAGTTCACTTTTAACAACGAAAGACGAGCTTACAGGCCTCGAGGGATCATTTTCCTGACCGGACAATGAAGGATTCATATGCAGGAGTTGTTTGATCTGGGCGAGACTTTGTTCGAGGGACTGAAACTTGCTTTCAATGCTTTCCACCCGTGTCATAAGGTCACCGCCCACAGAATGATTCGCATTTCCACCATTTTTGGGCTGAGGGTATGTGCAGTGAACATGCGTCCGGACGCAGTATGCACAGGGCAAGGATCGGTCGCATTTGATCTTGCGCCGGCGGCACTCAAGACAGGACCGTCCTGACGCAATCACCCGGCGGGGCATGGGTTGCTGCTGTTGGTTGAAGCTGAGTGGGATGAGGAATGGAAGTACTCCTACTAGTAACGGAGCAAGAAATGGCACAGGCCCGGAGAGGAGCTGCTCTGATTGGCTACGGCGGAGGAACGGAGGACAAGTCCGCATGTAAGCATTCACATCCATTTGTCATCGCAAGAACTAGTAATATTGTTGCTGATTCTATACTGACCATGCTGTATAGAAAAAGAAATACCTCACTAGACTGTCCATCCTCGTACATATAAAGATGCTGTCCTTGTCACGTCGCCAGCTGTTCTCAATACACAAAACAGAGACATCGCCACAAACTGTCCGTGATACTATTCAATCTTCAATTGCTCGCTTGCTCTAAGCTCAATTCTTCCCTCATATCCTACAATGGCCGGATACAAGAACATCGTTCTCATTGGTGTATGTAGAATTTAATCTTCGCACTTCACCACCAAACTCACACCTCGAATTAGGCCAGCGGTGATATTGGCAAGATCATCCTTGATGGCCTTGTTGCATCTTTTAGCTTTAACATTACCATCTTGTCTCGCAAAGAGAGTAAGGCTAGCTTCCCTGCCGGTATCACTGTCCGCAAGAGCGATTTCTCAGATGCCGACCTTGAGGCTGCCTTCAATGGGCAAGACGCCATCATCTCGGCTGTCGGTGCCGCAGCATTTGGTGAGCAGAAGAAGATTGTCGATGCTGCAGTTCGGTCTGGTGTTCAACGATTCATTCCCTCGGAGTTTTCCTCCAACAGCCAGAACGAGGCTGTCCTGAAATTGGCTCCCTTCTTTGGCCAGAAGAAGGAGCTCATCGAGTACTTGAAGACTAAGCAATCCGATGGCCTATCGTGGACTGCCATCGCCACTTCAGGATTGCTCGATTGGGTAAGTGACTTCTTTACCCTACCTTTCCCTACCGAGAAATATGACTCATTCGGTTTACCAGAGCCTTGGAAATGGCTTCCTTGAATTTGACGTCGCAACGCGTACTGCAACCATCTGGGATGGCGGTAACCAGAGCTTCACCCTTACCAATGAGAAGCAGCTTGGCCAAGCAGTCGTTTCAGTGCTACAGCACCCCCAAGAGACCAGTAACAGGTACCTCTACATCGCGTCTGTTGAAACCACCCAGAACGAGATCCTGGCTGCATTGGAAGAAGCAACAGGGGCTCATTGGTCCGTGAAAGCAACCACCACCGAGGAGCAGGTAGGTAAAGGATTCATGAAACTCGGTGCTGGCGACTTCAGTGGTGCATTCCACCTGGTCCGCGCCACCTGTTATGGTAGTACCCCAGGCCTGCAGGCCAATTATGCCAAGGACCTGACCTTGGCCAACGATGTGCTGGGGTTGAAGTTGGAATCGGTTCGGGAAACTGTCCAGCGTATCGTTGCACGGTAATTTGGGGGCTCAATTGATTGGTTTCATTGTATGTCTGCAATATTTCAATGCTCAAGATCCTAAGACTTAAGCATTTGTCTGTCCATAAATCGAGTGTCATAAGGAATCTAGGATTGACCTGATATGTATATTTGGCGGTCTTCTCACCAAGTGTCGAAACGTCGGTGGTGTAATGTTTTCAGGGTTCTTAGCTATACATATTTCTAGTTAGGGACTAGAACATACAAAGTTTCTTCACACACACACACACACACACACACACACAGAGAGAGAGAGAGAGAGAGAGAGAGAAAATCCCTTAGTTACTATGTGCATTGTGTTGTTAGTAAGCTAAAACGTGCTCATAATTAAAAGATGACATCATTGATATATTTACCCTTCCACATATCCGTCTCATTCCTTGAAAATATACTCACAGCTTGGAACATCAACCAATCCTGCGATACAGAGTCCAGAAGCTATATGTTGCCTGTGATGGACTAGCTCTTCCAATAGATACTGCCAACTAGTTTCAAATGTTCCTTTGCGGCCATTGGTCACAAGTGTTGCTTCCCATGCATTTAGATTTAGTTACTATTTGGCTCTGCATCAACATTTTCAGATTCTCGAACCAGATATACCCAGAAACAGTTTTTCCAAGTAGCTAAGCATCTGTGAAGCCGCCATCTGACTATGAATGACTCAAACTACACACCACCAACTGCGGAGGACATATTTCGCTACCGGTATCAGCATGGAACCAACCTAGGCTCTATGTTCGTCCACGGACCCTGGTTAAGTGATGGCGCATCTAGTAGTGACTCCGGAGGCTCCAAGGAGCTCGAAGAGGTAAAAAGGTCAGTGCGCATAGGGAGATAAAAAGCTACTTTGCTGGCTTCGTTGCTAACCCAGTTTCACTCACGTACACAGATCGCTCAAGGCTTGCGGACTCGAGGAAACTCGCTCTAAATGGGAAGCACACTGGCGGACTGCTCTGACCGACTTTGATGTTATATGGCTCAAAGATGTGGCACGATGCAACTCAATCCGTATCCCGATAGGCTTTTTTACCCTTGGGCCAGTCTTCTGCACAGGTACGGATTTCGAAGGCGAGCTATCTGAGGTGTACGTCAATTGCTGGAATATCCTGAAACGTCTCATCGAGAAATGTTACCACCACGGTATCGGAGTTCTCCTTGACTTCCAGACCATTCCAGGTAGCATGGACCGGAACAGTCATAGTGAGATGGGAATTGCTGACTTTTGCGCGAGTGAGCGCAATTGGGCGATGGCTACGGACTGCGTCGCTTTTATCGTCCAGGAAGTTACGTATCATGCGATGTCTGGGGTGATCGGAGTTCAAATATCTAGCGAAACGGACTGGAAAACCTGTGATCTTCGGAAATGGTATGATGAGGTTCTCGAGATCACGAACTGTGTCAACCCACCCCTACCCATCTACATCAGCGATGGTAGGAATTTTGCCGAAGCGTTGGACTATGCTATGGTGAAAAACCGACTTCAGAACCCTGTGGCCAGGAGTCCGATTATCGTGGATACCCACAAGTATTACACGACAGGATCATATCAGCACATGGACCCCGTGGCTATCATCTCACGGCTTTGTAATGAGCTATCCGAACTTTCAACTCGTCAAGGCAAAGTGGGATCCCAGAGAACTGCGGTAGACGCCTATATTGGACAATACAGCTGCGCAATGAATGCACAAACCTGGGGCCGCGTGGAGGCGTCCGAGAGGCCGGCATTAACCAAGGCCTTCGGTCAAGAACAGAATAAACAGTGGGAGTCCAAGGCATGCGGCTCCGCTTTCGTGGGCTTCAAAATACACCGGATAACTGGTGATGAATGGGACTTTGAGCGGCAAGTCAGTACTGATGGTATACCGGCCCCTTCATGGCTCGCAATTCCCCGGGCACAAGTTATCAGTAGAATTACACAGGCCGAAGCCCAACGGTTGCAGTCTCGAGAGTCTGCTTTATCACAACACTCAGACCCATCAGATACTCGCAAGCACCAACAGTATGCCCTTGGTTGGGATTTTGGGTTCAATGATGCATTGAACTTCTTTGGTGCATTGTCACGAAACGTTATAACAGGTGGTTGGAACGGAGGGGAAAAGATCGGGGCGATGGAGCTATGGGTTCGAAAACGCTTTGCTGAGACCGGAAAGTTGAATGAGGCCTTTGCTGAGGCGTGGGAGAATGGCTTCAGGAAGGGCGTTAGCGACTTCTACGACTTGGTCGGTATCAACACTAGCAGTGTGCAATGAAATGCAGTAATATGATTTTATGGTGATGAATTATTCTATACCGTCACCAATGCCTCGATCAACAAACGTTGACCAACTAAAAACGTTTAATGTTTCTCAGGCGACCTTACCAGAAAACCAAATCAATCCTTGGGTAACAGCACTTTATACCCTGGTCCTCAGTACGTGGGCCATGCATTTATGGTATGTCCGATCAATACGAGCAGACTACGATTCGAGATTGAACAATCCCACTAGAATGTAGACAAATGCTTGCGAGACCACTGCAGTACCCAGACGCTACACTATGCTACATGACACCTAACTCAACACTTGGGGGAGAGGGTATAACCGTATTTACATTCTTCAAAGATTATTAAAACAAGAGCAACGATGGCTCACACGAAAAAGAAAATCTAAGTAATATACATATATATTTAGCGTTAACCGCATCCATCTCACATCATACGTCCAGATCTATCCAATTCAAACGCCAAAGAGCAAGCCGCCTTATAGAACGAACCAAACTCTCGTCGAACAGGCTCCTGAGAGTCACCATTCTCCGAAGGAGACTGTTCCGACGTACCAGCCACATCCATGTCCAAGAAAATATCCGTCGTACGATGAGGACTGAAAGGCCCACTCTCGTAGAAAGAGTAATTAAGTTGGTGACCCTCAAAGTCATACTGATGGAGACGGGTGCCCCGGAAATCGCTAACAGGCAGATACATGTACTCTGCCGTAGTGAAGCCATCGGGATCGCGTTCTTCGCCCGCCTCAACCAAGAGATGGTTGGGGATTGAGAGCTGAGAAAAGGCCGGAAGAGGAGTCTCGCCCTCGTAGATCACCGCTTTGGAGAAGAATTCCCGCAGAGAGACCTGGAGGGGTTGCAGGGGGCCGTCCTCGCCGAAGCTGTCCAGTACGTCGTGGGTTAATTTCCGGGTGAAGCGGAGATCGAGGCCGCATTCGGGGAGGAGGTAGTCGACACTGCTTTGGGATAGGATTGCTCTGGCGTTTTGCACATTGTATTCGGACTCGAAGCCTCCTGGGGCTATGGCAACTTCGAGTTCGAGTTGGGGGAAGATGTTTGCGTGGACTGCGGATGGGACGAGGCGAAGACGGTGCGGTTGGATTTCTTCCTCCGGATAGTCTGCGGCGAGCTGGTGCAGGAATGGGATTACTCGGGGGATATCGGTTGTAAAGGTTCGTGGAGGTGCCAGTTTGCCTAGTTGGGCGGCGGTGATGACTTTCCCTTCGAACGGCTTGTGCTGGAAGAGACAACGGCCGACTGCTGCTGTTATGCTCTCGTGGGCTTCGGCGTTGCCGAGATTGGTGCGTGATCTTGCTCGTAGAAGTTTAAGGAGTTCATCTGATAGGCGCGTTTCGTGTTTATTGAAGAATGGTGCGTCTGACATGCCTGATGCGGTTGTTTGTGCTGATGGTACGGCCCAGCGGAACCATGACTTCTGTCGATCAAACCATGATACATTGAGTTCCGGGTTGATGTCGTAGGTGTCGACGGGCTCTGAGGCTGCCATATAAGTGCCGAATGGTACCGGAGGCTGAATGGCATCGTGGATTGCCAGATTCAGTGTCCTTCGAGCACTATCTGCTTTCGGTTTGTTTTCGACAAGGTAGAACATCTTAGTTGGTGTAGTGGAGGTCAGGTCGAATGAGACGCCGTAAGTCTTGCTGACCCATGACAGGAAATCCGCAGTGAAAACACGGGTTTTGCCTTTTGGGGTAGCGCCAGGGGCGTACAGTTCAAGATCCTCCTCTCGTATCCTGGTCGTGGCATCGTATATGATGTCACGGATGAATTCGCAAGAATGCAGCTTTCCGGTGATACGAACAAGACCAAGCGAATGCGTGATATCGATCTTCGCATCGTGAAGACCAGCCAGCTCCTCGAAGGAAAAGTGCTCGGAGTGTAGAAATAACGATAGTGAATGGGCGGGAAGACGAATATCCAACTGGCCAACCTCGCCAATGAGCCCAAGGTGCCAGCAATCGCGAAGTATCCGCTCAGTGAGCAGATACTTGCCTCTCAGATCCAGGGATGTTGCAACTCGTTTAGCGGCTCCCACCTGGGGAGCCGATTCCGTTTCAAAGAACGCTGAAGTCCCCGGCCTCCATTGGGCGAGTTTTGCACCTCCATGAAGTATTAGCCCTTCCTCCGGCACTGTGTTTTCCGCCTTAAACTGCTCAATATAGTCCGACAGTTGCTGGATTGTAAATGATGTCTGGAAATCTGACCGAAGATTCTCCCAATCGGCGGGACTCAATTTATCTCCCGGGCGATAAGGTGCGCGAAAACTTTCGATTCGTTCCGTAATTAAATCGTCATCGAGTATGTCGTCGGCGTTCTCTATATCGTTCAGCATAAACGGCAGCGCATTTTTTGTGTTTTCGTCGGTGCGATATCTCGGATGTTTGAGGTAGGCAAAGCGGCGACGCTTTGGGTGCGGTACGACAACTACTTCACCAGGATTTCCCAAGGAAGATACATTGATCGGTACTTTGTCAAATTTCCCTCTCGTTGGTCCTGTCTGAGGTTTTACTCTGCGTCTGTATCGGGGTGGTCGGGATTCTAGGCTTTCTGTGTTTTCTGTGTTTTCTGTGTTTTCTACGCTTTCTGTGCTTTCTGTGCGTTCTTTGCTATCATTTTCTGGTTCGCCATCCGTATGCTGGGACCGGACAAAAACGTCGCGTAGTCGAAGGATCGATGGCAACGAACATTTTCTGGAGGAAGGGGGTATCGGGCAGCTCAGAAGCCCCGCGACACCTTTTGAAGATCGCGAAAGCATCTGGGACACAAAGAGAGAATGACACTTGCTAAGTCACGTTTCGCCGACGGAATGTTGAAGCTCAACTTTCAAGCTTGGGGAGAATTGATTCTAGAATGGCACTAGTCCCACAATGGAATAGTTGATGGATGGGGCATTTCCAAATCGGTGATAAGGCTTCCGATCTCAAATGTGCAACGATCCGATAGTGTACAAAGAATGAAATGGAATAGATTTAGAAAAGAAAAGGATAATATGGGTATTATTTATAAATACAGGATTAAACACAAGACTCGAGAAATATTTTCTTTCGCCGTCACTCTTTAACACCAATCTCCCAGCTCCTTAGGTCCTCCCGAACATCAAACTCCGAGAGTTCGTGGTCATTGCTGCGGTTCTTCCAAGCATTGCCCTTCGCAGTGCCATAAAGTTGATGTTCAATGCTACTTCTCTTCCTGCTGTGGCCAACTCTCGAACTAAATTCGGGCAATTTACCGTCATTGCGGAACTGGTTGCCTGAAGAGCTTTTTGGTCGTCTTTCAAAGCTGGGTGAGAGTCGATTCGCCGACGTACTTTTCGTAGCTGCACCGGTGGATGGAAAATGTTCACCTTCCTTGGCCCTGGTCGATTGAAGATCATGAACTTCGTTGCTCCAGCTAATGCTTCCTGAGAAAAGGTCCTCAACTAGCTTATCCGCAGGTACGTCGTCGGAGTGAGAGTTCCAAGAAGCAGCCAAGGTCCGGCGGTACATATCCTGCATGTCAGCAGCTTCCCTGTTTTGCATATTGATAGATGGCAGTGGACCCAGATCATCAGGGTCGGTCTGTTCTGAAGATATGACGCCTGTGATGCCACCGAAGGCCATGGCCGATCTCAAAGGGGGTCTACCGCACGTCAGCCACCAAGCCAGGATGTATGGCGGGTATTAACACACGTCGTAAAATTCCTATCGCCCTCCACTTGACGCATTGCTACCCCTATCTTAAGAGTGCTGTTGACTTTGCTGTCTTGCATCAAATATCTCCTCACGATACCCTCGTCATCATCGCTCTTGTCCACGTATTCAGCGAGGTTGAGTCTGATTCTTCCCAGGAAATTCTTGGTATCGCCGCCTCCCCCCGACTCAAATTCCTGTATAATTTCAAATTGTAGTTCGCATTCGTGCAAGCTCTGGTTCCGGTCGATAGTAAGTCGAACCTGCAAGGTCTTCTCGTAGTTCCAGTATGCTCGGTGATCAATGATGACCGCCTTATCCGTATGCCCATGGTTTTCGGCGCCGCTTGACGAAGGTAAGCGCCATTTGACAAACGCCGTGCCGTTCACGAGGGGAACATTGTTTAGATCGACTATCTTCAGCGGCCGTGGAATCAGTATCGGGATGGTTTATCAAGACCAGGGGACTCAGGTAGCTTACCCTTAAACCAAGCTCAAACCTGGGCTACGAGCACAGTCAATGAATTGAATAAACAGAGTATGTCGCTTGACTCACCCTCCGATTCTTTGGAACTAGAGAGATCCATACGTTAGCATAAGGGTCCTATGAGGTCATGATGCCCAGGCTGATAGGGGTACGGATAATGCTCCGCTGACAGGACAACACCACGTAGGGAATGGGCATACCAAAAGCCTGCATGGTTGGCAAGGCTCAGTCCAGCGAGCACTATATAAGCATCTGCTCCTCAATTATTTCACTATCGTATAAGCACCTCTCTGTCAGAGATGATAGTTCGATACTTCCAGTTTCCCCACACTCCGCGCCAAGGCGGGCGTTATTTGAGATACGTCCCGCAGAAACTGACCGCCTTGAGCGTTCCTCCCGGCGCTGCGGAGGTAAAATCCACTAACGAGCGCATCTTCGGTACTTCGGACAGTCTCAAACGAAAGTCAGGAGATATTACGCCCATCCTAAGTCCAATCGAAAGCGCAAAATGAATCAGGAACCTCTATCCCCGCCTTCAGAGCCCACACCTTCCCCCACAAACAACCTAATCCCATTAGGCTCGCCTCAGCGCACGACCCCAATACATCCTCTACTTCCCGAAGTCCGCGTCCCCGGGGAGCCCTTACCGCCGCACAGATATCACCCGGTCACTTGTACTCAGATCGATGCAGAAGCTGAGGACATCCGCGCCCAGCTTGAACAATTACGTCAAGAATACACATCGCCAGAAGCAGCTCTGAAAGCACAGGAACAGGCTGCAAGAGAAGTAAAACAGAAGATGGAGGACGCCGAGAGGAAGCGCGAAGATGTCCAGAAAGCGATGGACAAGAAAATCAAGGAAAGGAACACCGAGATGAAAGTTTTGTCAAAATACCAAGAAGTGAAAGTATCAGATATCCCAGCTTGAATAAGGAATCCAAGGGAGGTTGCTTTCAAGAAAACGTCAATAGAACATGCCCAACAACTTTGGGGGTTCTATTTCTCATATTGGGATGAGTCCGGCCGCCACGATGCTTGCTTCAAGCTCGGTTATGATCCACCGTTCATTGTTCGCTACTGGTCTATCGCGGGTTACGGTTTCCGACCACCTACGCCTATTTCCCACCGACCTTGCCTCTTCAACCCCTCTCGACTTTAACCACCTGATTCAAGAGCCCGGAAGAAAACTACCTAGCAATGGCATAAGGAACCACCTTCGGACTGAGTCAGAGATCTCTTCAGGGGAAGGGAAAGAAAGGAAGCCGTGGGGTTGTCTAGTGGGCTATGCCAGACATCGGTCTTATACACGAATTGCGTGTTTACTTCGGGACCATGTGTTTTGTTGTCGTCAAGGTACTTCTGCAAGCGAACTGAACCATCTCATGGACATGGATTCTAGTTTGGGCTATGGACGGATTCTTATTAAAACATCACACATCATTGTAATTGGGGCCGCTATATCTTGGCACCCAAAAGCATCTCAAACATGAATCTTATCGACATAAGAGCACGTGATAATATCCTCGCATTATTAAAAGTAAATTCGTTGTCCGTTAATCATAAGCCCTTGAACTGTGGCTCAGATCCTTCACAGCGTACCCAAGATCTTTACTACGACAGGGAGCAACTAGAAAGAATGAGTTAGTGAATAGTCACAAAGCCATAGCGTATGATTTAACTTACCTCTGAGGCGTCTTCGATCAAAATCTGTGTTTCGTTGACGAATTTCTTAGTCAACAAGTCGTTGGCGTTGCCGAGAAGGCCACCAACTTCGCCGAGTAGCTCTGGGGTAATAACAGGCGAGACACCATCAATGAGGTCTCTCGTCTCGTTGACGAACTTGGGTGTAAGCAGGTTCGTTCCGTTGCCGAGAAGGAAGCCGACATCCTCCAGCAGGTCGGGAGTAATGACAGGTGCCACATTGCCAATCAGGCTCTTTGTTTCATCAATAAACTCGCTCGTCAGGAGCTTGCCAGCGTTATTGAGGAGACTACCGACTTGCGTGAGCAATTCGGGTGTGAGGACGGGCGAGATGCCATCAATTAAGCCCTGAGTCTCATTGACAAACTTCGGTGTCAAGAGAGAGTTGGCATTTGCAAGGAGACCACCCACAAGTCCCAGAAGCTCAGGAGTGATAACCGGTGCAATGCCATCAATCAAACCGCTGGTCTCCTTGACAAACTTCTCTGTCAAGAGAGAGTTGGCGTTGCCAATCAAAGTGTTGGTTTTGTCGACAAATCCATCGGTCAGCAAGTTGCCGGCACTATTCAACAAGCTACCGACCTTCAAGAGCAGGTCAGGTGTCAATACAGGAGAGATAGTGTCAATCAAGCCTGTAGTCTCGTTGACAAACGATGGGGTCAACAGGCTATTGGCATTGTCTAGCAGCGAGCTAATCTGTTTGAACAATTCAGGCTTGAGTAGAGGACCGGCTTCCTTGAGCAGGTTATTAACCGTGTTGACGAAGTCTTTAGTCAGCAGGCTGTTAGCATTATCCAGTAGCGAGCTGATTTCTTTGAAGAGTTCAGGTGTGAGCAGAGGACCAAGCGAGTTGATCAAGCTCTTAATCTGCTTGACGAAGTCTGCAGTCAACAGATCGTTAGCATTGTTAAGAAGGCCGCTGATCTCCTTGAAGAGTTCAGGTGTAAGCAGAGGACCAAGCGAGTTGATCAAACTCTTGATCTCCTTGACGAAGTCCGCAGTCAACAGATCATTGGCATTGTTAAGGAGGCCACTGATCTCCTTGAAGAGTTCAGGAGTCAAGAGAGGACCAAGGGAATCGATAAGTTGCCGCAGCTCCTTAACAGTCTCAGCTGTCAGTAATTGGTTGGCGTTTCCAATCAGAGCATTGACCTCCTTGACAAAATCAGCGGTCAGAAGGTCGTTTCCATTGTTCAATAATGTGGAAATCTGCTTGAACAGGTCATCTGTCAGAAGAGGACCAAGTTGTTTGATCAGTTTCTGGATCTCATCAACAAAGTCAGATGTCAACAGCTTGCCGGCGTTGCTCAGCAGACTATTCAATTCCTTGATCAAGTCTTGAGTAAGGAGGCCAGATCCAATATTGATAAGAGACTTGGTCTGTTCCGTAGTCTTGTCGTCAAATAGGTAGGCAAAATGGTGGAAGAATGATTCAACATCCTTGAGGAAAGTTGGAGACAGGAGACCTAGGAGACCCTGGAGTCCATTGCCCAGGTCTGTGCCAGGGTTTCCAGTAACTCCATCAGGGATAAGGCTCTCCCACGGACTACCAGCTGACGACGTTGAGGAGGAAGCGGCAGTTTTGGTAGCGGATCCCTGAGTTTTGGACTGTTCGGTAGGCGAAGCACTACCCTCGGGCTCCGCTGGTGAGGCAGTCGGGGCAGGCGCACTAGATTCCTGTTGAGTAGAAGACTCCGCAGCGCCAGTGGGGATTAGATGTGACAGCAGACCACCATCCGTTTGTTGATTGGCATTGGGACTCGAAGACGGCTCTGGAGCTGCGTTCGATTGTGGAGCGACGTTGGCAGTCGGCTGCTGCTCATCGTTGGCACTTTGTTGCTGGCTGGGCTCGGCAGTTGGCTGCTGATTCACATTGACCGTGGGTTGCTGGCTAGGCTCAGCAGTTGGCTGCTGGTTGACATTGACATTGGGTTGTTGACTAGCATTATCGCTTGGTTGAGCAGCTGCAGCTGCAGCAGTCGCCTCTGCAGCAGCCGGTGTCTGAGCTATGGGATGTTCCTCAGGAGCCCCCTGTGATGAGGCACTACCCAGTGCTGAAGAGACTTGGGCCGGTGTTGCCAGCGAGGTGCTGGAAAGCAAAAGGGCGGAAACTACTGTTGAGAAACGCATGCTGGGTGTATACTCTCCACAGGGGATGGCCAGCAATTGACGACTGAAGGGCCCAATTCCAGAACCAAGGAGGCTGTATGACTCCTTTTATGTCTGCAGGTGTGCGGGAATCTACTCCATTCTGTCCATAAAGCTAATGGCGACTACTGGATTAGGCCGAGGGCTAGTCAATGATCCCCACATGTGAAGCAAAATGCGTTACATTGGTGGTTCTCCAGCACTGATGTCAGTGGCAGAAGGTTTTGGGCCTGATCTGCGGGGGAAATGCCCTTTTGGTATGGACTTGATACGACATGCTGATCGCTTGCTCCCCTGTCGACATAGCAGCACCGCTGCAGGGTCGTATAGTCGATGGCAAGCGGAGAAATTGGCGCGATCTGGAGCAAGCTATGCTTGTCGGAGTGAGCCGTGGAGCCCCGGGGTTGTGTGAGGGACAATCGGCCTTGCGGGGAGCGAATGAAAAGCACGATAAATTGCGAGTTTCCGTGAGAATCTCTCTTCATCCCCAGATATTGTCTCTCAATTTCGGTTCAGCCTCGGCGATCGACAAGGGAACTTGTTTTCTTGAACCAAGCGAGCATTTGACAATCGCCGAGATACTTTGCGGCTATGCCTATGGGGGTATACTCCAATTAAATTGTTGATCTATGAGGACAGTGGAGCTCCCTGATTGGGAGCATGAGAGCCGTAGTAACAGTTAGTCCCTGACTACGGAGTAGACTGCATGCCATTGAGGTACGGGCCCGGACAAACCCTACGACTCGAGTACTCCGAGCAGCGGTGAATTGTGGTTAACCCACACGGCCCGTGGTTATTACTATTACTTGAGTTAGCTCTATACGTATTTCTTTGGTTAGAGGTCACCTCAGCCGGGGGACTGTTTGCTATACTAACTACTTCGAAAGATGATTTTCGGGCGCTCTCCTTGCGGGGAACGGAGCATTGCCCCTGAGAGGAAAGTATCGGGGAAGATAACGACCCCCAATTGTGGGGTCCCTATTCACCCACAATTGTTCACTTGGCATGGGGAAGTTAGGTGCGGTATCTGAACTCAGCCGACTGCGGGAGGAGGCAAGACCTTAGAGCGAGAAAATATTGCACGGAAATGCGGCTTTCTTTGTTCGGAGATTGAGCTCGGTAGCATGTGAAGTTGGCTACCATCGTGAGTCAATAAGCGCACGAGCAGTTGGTAGAAAGTTGCGCCTCTGTGGGCTTCCCTGTCGGGTTCAATTTGTTTTAGCTTGGTGATCGACAGTGACCATTAAGCGGGGTTTGCCTGTTGGTTCCTTTTTTTTTCGTCCACCAAGAAAGTCTTGTTTTTTCTTGGGCAGGGGTCTTCAACATCGCATTGTCTAGTTAGGATCCTTTGCCCCATCCCTATATTGCTACTCCACAAATATACGCGGAGGGATCCAGTTGGTGATAATCCAGTGCTAGCCCACGGCTCAGATAATGAAAAGGGAGCATCGAAAAACTTTTTCTTCCCTCATTTCTTTTATTTTGGTTTTATTTTGCGCTGGCAAATCTCGCCTTTCAGAATCCCCGGAAATCGTATCCAGCAGTGTGATGGGTTGTTGTACATACATGCAGGTCGAGGTCGGCCTTGGCCTGCATACAGTAGTGCCCGTCAAGAAAGTTAGGACTTATCGCACTGCTTACCAAGTAGAGGAAAGTATCTCGTCCGAGCTTCACTTTGCCCAATACGAAGTACGATAAATTAATATAAACTGCTGGAGATCACGCGTACTCCAATGGATCTCTCCAAGAATGCGATCAAGGCGTTTCTTGGCTTCCCCAGTGGCACAGGTCACAACAACGCTCAACCGTCTTTTGGGCATCCAAAGATGGATTATGTCATTTTTTGACATTGGATAAATTGTGATCCGCACAGGTAACCAAAGTCGAAAGATAGATCTCCAAGACATTGAAGCGGGGAATGGGCGGGAACCTTCGGTAGTACCTGGGAAAGTGGAGGGGAAACAGAAAGGTTTCTTCCAACTTTCTGGTTCTCCGTTACTATTTTTTGCTCACTACCTAAGGCGACCAAGTCACTTGACAGGGGTGTGCAGCCTAAGGTTTCCTTCCGTGTTTACACTAACATCTTGAATTCATTATACTCTAGATATTACTTAGAGCATGGCCGTAATTGCTATCGGCAGGGTACAGCAACGCCATAGGAAAGCTTCGATTGCTACCAACTTCTGCCTCATGGAGTCCCCTTTGATGCCCGTTTCCTACGTTAAGGACTCAAATATCAGATCAAGCACAGCTTAAAGATAAGGCTGAAGCTCTATACCCCCAATTATCCACCATAGGCGAAACGGCGACCAACTAGTTAGTTCTTGATATTAGTAAGTTGCTTATCCTTTGGGAGAAAAGACAGAAAAAAAAAAATTTTTCCTTGCCCCTTATCCGAGAGAAGATCCTTTCCCAGATCGCGACACATGTACGTACGCTTTCTGCGAAGGATTAGGCCCTTCTATTATAACGGGGATTCTTGCACCTGCAAAAATCTCTGGTATACACTGATGATAAAAAGGTTACATTAGCACATACTCTGTCCTGGCAAAGACGGCCCATTTTGACTAGCGGACATTAGATGCATCATGCATCTTAAAAAGCCCGACCTGTATTCTCCCTACAACTATCTAATTTCCCATGAAAGATATCGTATGACATACCCTACCATGAATTAATTCTATTTAACACAAACCCAACCATATCCAGGAGTATAACCCGATGAAAGATGCGCGCGAGTGCCAAATTTTTGCGTCCGTTGCCATTAGCTTAAATTAAGATGGCAAAACAACGATGCCAACTAGTTTACCTACTCTAAATGTTAGGAATTTGCTAGCTAGCCCCACTGGTTGCTTCTCTCCTTTTCCTAGCGCTACTCTCATACCAACAAACATTGCTGTCGTCCGATTCCAATTTCCGCTCCCACTGTTGGAGCCATGCCAACCCCAAAAATTAGATGTTCTAGATCTTTGATAGACTACGGAGTATGTGCCTAGCGCAGAGTTTGGCTATCACTGAGACAATCAGCATCGATGTGCAGAAAATATTACAGAGAAAAACTTTTCACCACCCCGAAGTACAACCGACTTTGAGCCATGTGTACTACTAAATCTTTCTGATAGACTTGGTTCAAACAGGGCAATGGTATGCATTAAAGTCGAAAGATGTTTTTCGCAAAATTTTCTTGTTGTTGCCTTTTTCTTTTGGGCGTTGGGGAGCTGCGGTCTTTTTCTCTTCCTAGATTCATAGCATCCTTGTGGCTGGCTCCTATGCACGGAGTAAAGGCGTGACGCTATCTGTAAATACTTGACTATCACATCGTATAAACATTCTCCAATGTGACCCTCAACTAACAAAATCTATATAATGACAGAATCTAAATTATTGGCACGGGGTGACGAGACTCGTATGTGTGTATGCATTTTCAGGCACGTGATTCGTCTCAACCCTAAGACAAAGGGTCTTTACGACGGCCTTTGGCTCTTCTCATCCATCATCTCTTCAAATTTATTAGCTATTTATTTGACTATGTGACTGAATCCTAACTTCTTAAGGTGCCGTTTCGGGACGTGGTGTAGCCTCAAGGTCCTTTGACCTCTTCTGATACCGCCATCTTGGCCCGTATCCGAACACTAGAATTGCAAATTATATGCCAGCGATAGTCACAGCGAGCCATCGCACGCCGCTAGCATTATGCAGAGGTTCCGCATTACCAGATTCTATCCAACAACGTGCCATATTCATTGCTGCCGATGCCCCCTCTGGCTTGACCCGGTTTAGTACCCAGGATCAGATTGCTGAACCATGAGCACGCAATTGAGCTGCCGAATGATTGTAACACGAGGAATACCATTGATGCGGCTAAGGGTGTACAAGTTTCCATAATCCATTCATATGCTACCAGGTTGCCTCCAGAAATGAGGAGTAGAGGCTGGCTGACTGGCTGACTTGAAGACGAGCAAGTTGTCTGTGAGGTCTTGCATCTGTTCATGCATAGGCGCCATTGTCTAAGTGGGCTATTAAGTCGGTTGATGTGACCCGAAATCTTGTCTCCGAGGACCATAATGAACATAGCCGGTTGTTAACTTTAGTGACTCTAGTGTCTTATTAGCAATTATATCTCATAGAGGGTACAAGTGCGTTTTACCTATGATGTGACAGTGGCTGTTTATATGCTAAGTCTATGAGAAGAGATCTGCTGTTAGGGTTTTCGTTATCTTTCCTCAAAGATGTTTACAATCAATAGATAAGAGGAGAGAAGGAGTCCGAGCATTTGTCACTTTAAAAATGACACCGGTGAGTACCAGATACAAGTCCCGGCCATCCTACCGGTGGAGTGCTAGCATACCATGCATAGACCACAGATCGATTATCCACTCTATATTCGAAAGACTTCTCTCTCTCTCTTCCATTTCTATTCTCTCTTTCTCGACGCCCTGAACCCCAAGTATCCCCAGTCACTACTGGAACCAGACTTTCATCGCATCATTGCTGTCGACTCTCATAGTTGAAATAATAAAGTAGATCTTGTTTGCAAATTTGGTCATCTCGGAGACATTCGTATTAAAGACTCTGGGTCTTGTTCCGATAGAAAGTCGAACTCACTCATCAAGTACTGGTCAAACAGCCCATCGTTCTCAAGACCGAAGTCTACATGCGGCGTTTTGCGATCATATATAATTTGCTGTGGTTCCTGCTGCAGTAAATCCATGGGTACAGCTTGAGCTGCGCTAGGGGCCATCCTACTTCGTTGTAAGAGATCATCAATGCCCTTTGTTATACTGACAAGGAGGTGATGCGGATGCATGCTCGCTGTCACTCCCTTCAAAACTGTGACTAACGATAGCATTAAGCGTTGAGTTTCTTGATTATCAAGATGAACAGTGGCAGAGAATCGGGTAGATACTTTGAGCAGGAAGACTACTGCAAAAGCGATCATAATATCAAAATATGTCGGCAAGCCGTTGAGGTATGATTGAATCTCAGGATCTGATATCACCGCGCGAAGGATAGATACGGCGGAAAGCACCGCAGAGTTTGCTATTTCCTCGAACTCCAAAACCACATCAGGAGCTCGAGATTTAGCATGGCGTGATCCAGCACCACGCAGAGCATGCGAGCAGAGATAGAGCTTGGCAAAATGATATTGTATCCCAACACCTTTGCGCGGATAGTTCCCCACATGGGCGTTTTGTTTGAATTTGTCGCCCCATTCAGCACGAAGGCTATCCAAAGCGATGCTGAACCGTCGCACCTGGGAAATATCTGCATCTGAAAGAGGCCGATCGACGTCGGAACCGAAAGTGTCATACATATTGGTGCAGATACTCCAGCGTAGGACCTGGCTTACCAGTCGTGCATCGTCCTCAGTAACATAGGTACAGTCCAGGAACTTCCGCGCATCTCTCACAGCCTCGCATTCTCTAGTCATTGGTGGTCTGCCATATGGCACGGAAAAGTGATGGTCACAAGCATAGACCAGCAGGTATAACCGTGCGCGTGAGTAGTGGTTCCTGTCTCCCTGTAAAGCCTTCGAAAAACTCTTATGCAATTGCAATTCCGTGGTTATTCGCACAGTTAGACCGACTAGCGACCAGGAAAGGTCACTGAGCCAAAAGGCACCAATGCAGAGCGCCCGGACGTCATCGACGGTGTGCCTTCTTGAAAAGCTCAACGGCGCACTTAGGGCGACGAATTCTTTGTACAGCGCTTCAAAATCTGAAGACGATAGATGCAAGGCACCTACTGCGCAGATAGCGGTTGTTAGAAGCGGCGAAACTTCTCTAATGCGCCCCAATGTCGCCGTGCTATGATCTCCTAGGATCCGGTAAACGAAGTGATCCAGTCGGTTTTGATATTCATCAAAATATCGCAGTGCGTTCTCAGTGCTTATCACACCACGAGAGATCATGTCCGTGGGGGTGTTGGCTGGCACGGAATTGGCTCGTAGAAGATAGTGGCCTGGGAGCGCACCTGGATTTGATTCCAGATCTATGGTAATCTTCCATCGACCCGGGCGCTCACTTGTTGTATCTTGCTGATTCCCTTCCACCACTTCCTCGCCCACCGAGGATGGCTCATTCTCTAATCCTTGCTCATTCCGCTGAGGGAGGTCTAAGGGTATATTATTATTCACGTTCCTACTAACGGCCGCTTCTAGCGCTTGTATTTTCTGTTCTATGTTCTGCTTCCATCTGATAGGCACATTAAGTAAAGTAGGCATAGTCAAGGGTTCAATTCCACTTACACTGCGTCATTTTCCAGCAACATCTGCAGACTGCGATTTACTGTGCACGGCAGACCCTTCTTTCTGCATCGAGCACATGGTGGCTGGGACTCATTCATATGGCATTTTATCTGGATCAGTATTAGACCTGTAGCAAATAACATCATAGCCTGTCACTGGGTACCTTTTGCTTTCGACAGGCTACACAGGCAGTGATCTTGCGAGTTATGTCGGGCGGTTTAGGGTCCCCAAATGTGTCTCGAAGGCGTCGGACTGCTGAGCCCGGGGGTTCGTGATTCGTCATCTCGAGATCTGGATGCTGCTTGAAACAGACTGCAATGTCCCAAAGAGAGATTAGACCCTCTTAGTATATGTCCGTTGTTCTCATAGAAATAAGATGAATAGTTACTGGTGATAACGATGGTGAATGGTGGAAACGGAGGATGCCGGCGGTCCGCCGGTATGAATTCTCGGCGTTCGCACCGAGAAACTTATACCTCAGACGGCAGAAATATGTTCCCTTAATTATCACCTAATGAAAATAACCCTAAGGCATAGAAACTTCTAATCGAGTCATGTACCATTCACACTTCCTTTTTCTTATGCTCAGTACGTCCGTTATATCCAAATCATATCCATGTCGCGGTTTCGAGTAATGATTGAATGAATTGCGGCACCAACACTACTAGTTGTTAAACCATGTCTTGAGATACTACTAGGAGCCTGACATCGGTATGGACTTATTCCACTTAAAGGAGCCAGTGAAGTGGTGCATGGAGAATACAGTAGAATTCGCGCCCCAGAGGATTGGGTCACCCAGCTTCGGATCCTTTGCCTTATTTTCTGCGATTATTCCTTCGAATTCCATCGGTTTGCTACAGGTTAGTCAGGCTGAGGTCGACAATTTAGAATATGTATCCTACACGATGAGCAATGTTATACCCAAGTGTTCTGCATGTTTGTTTGTCCGTTCCCTTCTCCGCTTTGTAGCGTCGCAAGATGTCAACGACAACGGAACGGCTACTGTTTTTTTTTTTTTTTTTTTTTAAAAAAAAGCAGGAACGACATATTTTACTAAGCTCATTTGGCCCTATAACAGATGGGACAGTTGTTCGGGCAAAGCAAAATCGGAATGATCCTTTCATCGACAAATGGCGACTGTTGGCTATCTTTATCAGTTTCGCCGTGGTAGGTGCCAGTGATGGAGCCTATGGAGTAAGCCTTGCTGTTATAGATTGCTTATATAGAAAAGCTCACAATTTTGCAGGCATTAGTCCCACATGTATGCACTGAATTTATTCCTCCGGTATCAAGCATTGTGACATCCAATAGCTCTAAGAGAAATTCAGCCTATCAACTACGGTCATTTCTTGGGTTTTTGTGACAGCCTTTCTCGTATGGTTGCGACTATCCTTGTAAACACAGTCCATATGACCTTTGGACAGAGAGGCATTGCGATGATAGGTCTCCTCGGCCATATCATCCCATCCATTGTCATGGCAATTCACCCTCCGCACCCCATCATGCTGGCTATCTACGCTTACCCACATGAACGCTGAAGGTGAACCCCTCCCCCAAGATTTAACTCCGGTAATGTCTGACGAGCATTTTGGCAGTGTTTGTGGGTGGGTGGTTCGTGGAGCTTGAGGTTCAGGTTCGTTACGGAGGCCCGTTCGAGTCTGGCACGATTTCAACTGGCTTTTGGGATGGAGTCACGCTCGGAAAATTTATTCTTTGCTTTATAAATGAATTGTTAGGCATGATAAACCAGTCCATGTGAAAGTGGTGACTGTGACTTAAGGAGAACTATGATTACTGTATATCATATTGGAGAGCCTGGCGAAATGGGGGGCAGCAACATCTACCTTCCATATACGGTTAACTCATAGCTAAGTTGGTTCTATATCCAAGATATAAAATTTCAGCTTCGAAAGGATATGTGGCAAGCACCATTCAATTCAAGTAAGACTTCCATTAAGGCAATGCTCCATACGAGGAATTTATATTTAAGGTAAGCTAGATGAATGCGCAGAATTAGTATACTCCCGAAACGTTCCTATGGCTATAGAGACTGATATCACTGGCAATGTCAGTCAGCGACAACGTATCAGTAAGTTTTGACTTGAAACCATATATAATTAATATTATGAGCCGCTGCTTCTAGTACTCGAACCAATCCAGGCTTCATCTCGGAAAATCACGCCTCCAGGATGGCAAGAATCTTCTCTCCTAGAGATGATGGATGCTCTATGATTCTTGGCCAGACGACGAGGTCAGCCATCTTCTACAACTAGACGTTCGCCCTTGTCGATCTCAATCAAAACATGATGAATCCCCGCTACAATCCGACCGAAGGCGCCAAACTGGAGCAGACTCGTGTTATTATTCCACTGCAATGATTGTCGTCAACCGCGAAATGAACGCCATCATGGAGATTTCTCGGAAATAAGTACAATTGCCTGGTCATCGAGGCGCTGAACGAGTTCCCATGACCACAAACACAAGCTGACTATTGGACTCCTATGGCCGCGTCGACTGCATGTCATTCCATACCACTAGTAAACCTTCAGGGTGGCAGTCAGGGAAGTTCTGTCTCCGCCCATAAACCATCCCATCGTGAGCGCATGGCATTGGCCAGGACAACGACCCGAGCAGTAGGCTGCGTCTCACCAGTCTGGATACAATTTAATGGCAGCTGAGTCTGATGTAAAGTTCGCGCGTCATGACTCAATCGTCACTGTGGAAGAGAGGAGCTCAGCTTCATCGCGATGACACCATTATGCAGCGTAACGAGCTGCGTCGCCATACTGATACCACAGTCTTTTGAGCCCACCGAAAGCGTCACGTTGAAGTTTACCCGCCAGCTTAAAAGGAGAATCAAGGCTTTGTGAGGTCGACTGGAGGAAACCTTCATTGGCTCTCGGCAACTCACAGTGACATGTCAATCTGCGAGTGGTGATCTGCTCGGACTAGTCTAGCTAAGCCCAGAAATAGGTGGCGTATGCTCAAGTCTCGCAGTGAGTATAGGTTGAGATGGTGATGGTTCCAGAATCTTGTACATCTAATTGAATACATGAGATGAAGTACTTCCAAGCGATCCAGGGCCTGCATTAAATGCCACTATACAGTTAATGATTGGCGAGCATATAAAAATTTCAGGGGCGTTCTAGGCCTATCACGTGTGGGCTTTTGCTGTTTAGCATTCAATTACATGAAGTATCAGGGCTTTTGAGGTATGTTACCGTATGTACGGAGTAGTTCGTACATCTCGGTATATATTCTCATCTTTAGGGTTGGAGAAAAATAATCAATACACGACGGCGGGTGTGTTACTGTAATTGTTGTATGCCCTCTATTTTTTACCAAATGTTCTAGTGTCTTTCTCTGTAGTTTTCCCTTCTTCTTTCTTCCTTGCCTATGCTTAACAACTCTTATGTCATGGTTTGGTTGTACTGCAGAAACTCCGCCACAATAACGATTAAATGTGGCTGATGTGGCAACGTGACAGAGGCGCAGCGATCGGTCATCTCCGAAAAAGGGATATCTTTAGTCACTACCAGGTCATATGCGGTGCTCGTACGCTCTTACGGAGGTGACACCTTTTCCATTGGGGGTTAATTCTCCTGAATCATAGTCAACCAGCTTTATAGGCACTACGCCCTACTCTGCTATGGAGGGGCGACAAATAACGGTCAAATTTAGTTGCAGTGTGTCGCGAAACTGTGGCCCAAGCTGACGACGCTGGTTGCCTTGCTGCACAAGTGTTATTTACTTCCCTAGGCTGCTCCTGTTGGATGCCGATTCCAACCGATAATGCGAAACGTTCTGGCATCATCAAGCAACTTTTTGCCACAGCTTGTGAGTGCTCTGCGTGCATGGAACCCATTGCTGGGCGCGTGCTGATACCGTAGCAGTGTGTCATTATCTGATCTCAGACTATCTCCATTCAAGTGCAATGCTTCTGCCTATCCTGTTGAGTCGTCTGTGGGGTACTGTGCGACAAGTTGGTGGGTTGATTTGATGGCAGATATCAAAAATTTTCCCTATCCCGCCTAACCCGGTGTGGCCGGATCCCAACTACCCCCAGATGTTTCCGTGTCCGCGTGCAGCAGATCATGGGGTCTATTGACTGAAAGGTGCATTACCCGGCCTCCAGGAGACCTACATACCTACCAACCCGGGCCTTAGATCTCCGGTTACTGCAGGCGGACGAACTAAACGGGCGAGCCCTACTTAATAGGTATGTAGTGCAGTACAGACCCAGGGAAAAGGCGAGTAAAGCATGGATGCAGTTCGGAAAAAAAAGAGAACTGACGGAAGTGCAACCGGACAACCCCCCTTTTTCTCCTGTGCTTGTAACGGAATGGCATCTTACGAGTCCAGACGATAGTTCGAATGACTTCCACTTCTGGTAAAGTCTAGAGATGACCGTCAACGAAGCTCAGTCCAATGGTAGATCGTAACAGGGATCTCAGGTGCAGCGCAGTGAGCCGGGCTCTGTTGCCATCAGCGAATCTGAGGCCTGAACAGGCACCCTTCCAGCATCCCAAGATTTTTTAGGCCCTTTAGCTCGCCCCACGAGGACTCGACCCGCGATTCATCAGGTGAGATACTGGGAATTATTTTTTTTTTATTCTCACAGTCGATTAATTTTCCCTAATACACTTTTCACCCTTTCCTTTCCTCATCAAACGTCATATGTGGAACGAAACATGGCGGAAGGTGGGAAAATGGGAGGGACAAAGAAAGAGTGAAAAGGGTCAAAGGGCTGTTTTAAGCTACGAGATATGGCAGGGCTCATCCCGCTGTGTAGCACAGATGGAGAGGTCATTTCATTCATGATTGTTTGGGAATTAGGTTGAGGGGCATAGGTTTGGATTCGCCTAGAACCACGGTTGATACACGAGTCTCCCACGGTCGAGTTGCAGTAGGCAAAGTAGACTCTAGAGCGTCTAGGCTTACTGCAGTATTGTAGTCTGCAAGGTAAGATACTCTCTCTGTACAGTGTTCACGGAAGGGCAGGTGCATGTATGTACCATATGCGATTCTACACACATGTACTTTGTGTGTCCAGTAACGTGTTAGGCCTTTGGGCAATTGTTGTGCGTACTGGTCAAAGCTTTGTGGAGTCTTTCTTCGGGCCCTTTTCGTCCGGAGACGACGTCATTATATTTTCGTTGCAGCAGATTCAAGAAACCAGTTCTTTCTTTATTGTCTATGTTTTATTTTTTATTTTTTCTTGCTTTCTTGCTTTATTCCAAGCGAATTTTATATACCGTATGAAAGGATGGCTTTGAGTGAGGGTAAAGAAACAAACCCTAATGCATGGCTGTAACAAGTTGCAGATAGACTTTTCGGCGAATTTCTCCGCTTCCCTT